TTAAGCTTTTTCAATATTTTTTCCTCAAATAACGTTTTCTGATACACTGCAGTCTCTTAATACAACTATGTTCTTTTTTTAAAATTGAGTTAAATAGATTTTTGTTCATTGTGGTAACTGCATCTGGGTCTACAAGGCGGGTCAGCTGCATACATCAGATTATGTAGACTTGTTACATCTTTTCAATCTGCCCATGTCCGTCTTCTGTTTTGTTTCATGTTCTTGTGTTGTGACTAATTCATTAGTCTAAAATGGCAAAAACTTTGTCAAATGCCCATTGACTCAAAAAACTGAAATGTATCCAATTTAAAATTACATAAAACAAAAAAAACTCTTGCTTTAGATAATCTTTTACCAGTCACGCTTTGGCTATTTTACCATATAAATGTTGATATTTGTGTTCTTATTCGTCTCTTTTTAAATTATTTTTCATTTTTTGTTCATACTGTTTGTATTGTATCACTGTTATTGTTCCCTAATGTAATACCGGCATCTTTGAAAACGAGGGCTCACACCTCAATGTACTCCAGAGAAGTAAATAAAGGTTGCACAAATCAAATAATAAATTATTAATATACAAGCAAAATCATAATTTATTTATGTTATCTAGGCAGAATAATTAATTCATCAACTTCAATCTATACAGTATAATAATAATGTCTGCTTTGATGTTTGTTAGGTGTGTGTTTAAGCACTCACCTGTTGGAATAAACATTGAGGATAAGGATCACAGTCCCCAGGACCAGAGCCAAAGAGCTTAGTACCAGCATTGTTATCTTCCAGCCCATCCCTATACACATAAACAGACAAAGCATCACATCATTCATTTTACACAGCCCACATGTCAACTCTTATTATATTGACCTTTTTTCTAAGGTATTCTTGTTAATACATTAGTTTGATTTGACTCAGAACCTGCTAACAGAAGTCTATTGAAATTCCAAATATTACAAAACACCCGTTATACATTCTGCTGTTTCTCATTCATCCAGCTCCATCTAGTGGTGTAAAAGTAACTATATTTATATTGAATAAGGAAAACTTATGACTTTCATGTCAATACATACAGTATTGTAGAATCAAACATTTCCACAGATAAAATTGGACATACAGTCTTTTATTGATTAACAATTAACCAAGCTTACCGTAGTCCATACTGAAGAAAACCATGGTGGGATCTGCAGGGGATTTGGTGCTTATGGACAAAAGAGGCTCATCTATTACAGGATATGGTTCTGTGACCTCAACGCCCATTATACCTTCAGCTGAAGTGGAGGAAAATGACACAAGTCAAGAACAAGTCAACTAGAAGCGATGACCAAAACTTAACATCACAGGTTTGATTTCATTGGCCTGTATATGTATGTCTAAGACACATTTCAATCAGCATTGCCATTATGACTTAACAAGTCACAGTGGTGCCATTTCATGATGAGGAAATTGTACTTAACTAAATTAGATCCTCGGCCTAAAACCAGGCAACCTATAATCTAATCTGCAAGCCACAGCAGAATACACTATGCAACTGATATCACATATAGCATATGGACTTGTTTTGAAACATAAAAAATATTTTAAAGAACACATTGAACACAACATGTGGATTTGCATGTTTTAGCCAAACAAACTACAGTTTTTACACATTGCATTTTAATAGTGATTAATTGCTGACCATTGTCCAAAGCAATGTGCTAGTCAATATGGTGTAAAAATCAACTTACAAATCTTCTAAAATGTTCTTGACAGAGGTAAAGCATCACAAAGAATGGGCAGAAAGAAAGAAGGATATCCTGTAAAGCCTCCTTGTTGGTGCATTTAAAGAAATTAAAACATTCAAGCTTTGAGGATCTCCTGCTGAATAGGAACCTTTTCAATGCAAGAAAAATGACTAATTCCATATCCCATGTTTACTTATTTGTGTACTGTTTTGATTTTCTCATCATAGTTATGCATTTTCAGTAAACTACTATAGTGTTGTACTTTTGGGTTCTTACATGGTTCAGCCTGTCTGTGTATATCAGAGACAGAACTTGGAACAATCCCAGGTTCCAGGGATTTCCCCAGATGGTGGAGAGGTTGGTGTTGGTGTTGGTGTTGGTTATGTCTCCCATTGCACAGTGTCTGGTTGTCAAGTGTCCGCCACCTGCTGCCCTGCTAATAAAAAAGAAAAGTCAAACGAACATCCAGCTAGCGTTGGACATTGTATAGACTTACTCTTATTAGGTAGAAATATTCTACAATATACATTTCCTCCCTAGTTTTTCATTACTTTTTAAGTCATCTGATTAATGTACAATCAGATGCTATGTGACCTTTTGTCCCTTCTCCAAAATGTTCATACCTGCTTGTGTTCCCTTGAAAGGAAGACCAACGTGGATTCTTGTGTGGCACTAAGGTGCAGCCCCCTCCCTATCAAAGTGAGGTGGCCTTTCTTGGAACAGGACCATGTCTGGCTGCTTGCCTCTCTACCTATATCCACCGCTGCCACTTCAGCACCATTCTTGTCACTTTCTGCCCAAAAGATGCAGGGCTGCAGGTGGACACCTTCGTACTGCTCTCTTGGTGCGGTCAGACACTCCCCTGTGTGGTGGCTGCTGAGAGCCTGGCTTCCTGAGAGCCAACGCCATTCCTGTAGGGCTGAATATGGGTTGCAGTCAGCCAGAGACACTCTCCCTCCACCTTCATGCACCTGGAGACATTTACCCAGCAGCTTGTTCTGAATCTTTAAGCCAGACGCTTCTGTAGAGGGGACATAAAAAAAAGGCATTATGTGGCAAGGTTGAATCTTAATTTGCTATTATAAACCTCTCAGTCAAGCCATTGTTGCTATATGTGGAGAGAGCTGAGTGTAAAGTTGTAATTAAGTTACATATTCTTACTCAAACTAAGGCCAAATTTACATATTACTAGGGGATTATAGCTTTAGGCTACTTATCATATAACTCAGTAATATTTAAGTGATATTATATTCTTAAAACCTCACTTAAAAAAATCCCATTTGTGAAGTCAATGAGATTTGGTTTGGTGTTGGTGATTTTACAGTGTGCATAATATGCTAATGATCTTGGATGGATGAGTCTGGAGGACATGAATACAGTGGTCCCCGTAGAGGAGAACTTCAAGCCAAATTCCATTAAAAGGATGGCAAATTAACCTTTCTTTGCTTCTGGGCAAACATGTCTCATAAAACAAGACTTCACAAGTTTGAAAAGTCGGTATTTTGTGATACTTTCCTCTAATCGGCATACATCTGAAACAGCAAACAGCAATTTCTCTTTACCTCAAAACAATACAAAACTTTTTCAGTGTTTTCAGTTTAAGCTAGCTCACAGCTAGCTAAATTATTCTGGTAAAAGATGCAGGACAACATATACAGAAAGCTTATCATTTACTCAACTTATAGCAACCCAACCGCTTAGTTATTACTCAAATGTTTTACTCAGTCTTACTAAATGTATGTCACCAACTTACGTAGAAAGACTTCGGCTACCTAAAATAAGAGGCACAGTTATGCAACTATTTGGACAGCTAACGTTAACATTAGAGAAAACTTACAATAACGTCGTTAGCGGCCGTTTTCAGTCGCTTTTAATCGATGTGTTGAGCCACCGAGGAACCAATCGATCATTAGTGCATTGGTTCACAGTTACAGTTGCTAGCTGACTTAGCTAAAATAACTTTTACTGTTTGTCCTACCTTTGAAAATGAGGAAAACGAGCAAATAGACACATGGCAGCCTTTTCCCCATGGCGATGGCGATGACAGGCACAGATAGTTCGGGGTCTCCCGTGACAATACAGCATGAATGCACTCAGCAGCAGGCAGCGGGAGCAAGTGCAAGTGGGCGGGAGCAAAACGCCATGCATCCATTGCTTGGGTGGACTGAAAGGAGCACCCATCCCTGCTCGTAACTCTTAAAGAGGGACATGCATGGTCCCCCAAAGTGTGGATTTCCATTCAAATGCTTTGATACTGTATAGGAATCAAAAGCAATATAAACTTCTTAAGGGTGACTTTGGTTGTTTTGAAAGGTTCCTCTACCCCTACTACTACTGTAGGTGATCATTAGGCCTTTTTGGTAATGAAAATAAATCCCTGTGTGCTACTGTTTATGCTGTGATCATTTGTTTATTGCATATTCTGTTACTGTGTTACTCTGGAAAAGTCTGTTTTCCTCACAACTAATACACACAGCTCATAGACACTCCTTGTTTACTACTACAGCAGGCGAGAAAATGTGTTTACAACCAGTGTGCTACAACTCCATGGACTACCAATTAGACTTAAAGAGCATAAATCTGTTATAAGGAGAAAACAGTGCTGCTAACTGAATAGGATTGCCCACTCGTTAACTGTGAGGAATGGGACAGCTTTTGGGGGCCTGCGTGGTCACATGATGTTTTTCTCTATGGGATGCATCACAAAGTATGTGAAATACTTTGATCAAAATAAAAAGATTCATCAGACTTACGCGTATTAAAACCGTGTTCTCGAACAAAATCTGTTTTTATTTCGATAAAATAAACATTTCAGGGCCAACGAATCACTGAACTCTCGCTTTTGTAACTGTAACATTGTTCACAGTAAAACATTTGAGGATTTTTTTACCCCTGAAAACCATATGCGTTGGTGTATACCTTACTAACACACAAAACACACCCTCTGTACATATTTATTTATACATACATAATATTTTTCCATTAACATAACTGTAGGAAACAGCAAAGCTGCCCTCATCATCTGTCAGTATTTATAGAGTATGTTATTCCACACAATCTATTTCCAGCTGAGTTCAAGGGCATAAAATAATATGTTGTGCATTGCTGTGAATGAATAAACATCTGTATTAAAAGTAAAGAACTAAATGAATAAACATTGAAAAAACACTACACACACTAAACTTGACATGAAATGTAAATTAGATTCTTCTTGCTTGATTAAAGATGACTGGACCATAGAGCCTCTAAATGGTGTGCACATTTAAACACAAGGATCTAAGAGCCGCTTAATCATTTATTAAGTGAAGTAGTGGGTAGATGAATGGATGGAGGAATAAATGCTTTTTGTACAATAACAAACATATTGCCATGCATAAACAAATACATACATACATTTCCTTGATTAACTGACACCAAAACTAAGAATAATAAACAAAAGTACATAAGTTAGCTTCCATTATTAAAGTCCAGGTGCAATGAAAAATGTCATATTAACCCTTTAAGACTGCATCCTCAGTTATATTGTACCCCTATTTAACAATGTATGCTAAGAAAATAACAAAAACTTAATTTCTTTGCACAGCTGCCTGTTCTTACAGTAAATACATAAATGTGCAGAAGCAAATAGCTCTCTGTCTCCGTTTCACGCGGACTTTAATGCATCCACTAAGGTTAAGAACTTTCAAGCCTTCACCAGGATCATTCTTGTAGAAAGTCAATACAGGACGACAAAATATACGACCACTTTCTGCTCTAAATTTAAACAGTTTTTCTTACTTACAGGTGTCAGCTTTATCTCACAGGTAAGTAGGCCTACACTAAGTGGATCCAGCATAGTGCATAATGTGCTTCCATATAACTGTGCCTTACTTAGAGGTCGATATGTCAAACAGCTGCAAAACAAAACATCATGATCTATTAGGAAGTCAGATACATACGCTACATTTTAATTAGGATGCATTGCATATATAATTCAAAGGATATAAACAATAAGTTATTGAAAATAAATTGACAGAATCATTATGGACAAACATACTGGTGTGTGGCAGCATGGAGTCAGACAAAGGATGTGAACAGAACACACCCAGCCATTATATGACTTCCCCTTCTCTAAACTCCTCCGCTGTGCACTGACAGGTGAATCTCTCCACCCCATTCGTGTTCCCTTTTGAAGCTCAGCTTTTGTGATCTGACCCAGTCGTATTGAAAGTGCCATTAGAAGGGGGGAAAAGGGACATATAATTTGGAGGTTGTTCTCCCTGTTGAAACATAGGTGGAGCAGTAGGGGCTTGATACGGCACTGGTGGGAAAGCTGCATTTGGATAGCCATACGGAGCAGGCTGTTGTGGCCACTGATTGTAGCCACTTGTTGGGTTCAGATGTTGAGTGGGATTTGGTGCTGGGTATCCATAAGTACCTGGACCTGCGGGCATGGGATATGGACCAGTAGGGAAGGCAGGGGGAGGGAAGTCACTGTAACCTGGGGCCCCAATAGCTCCAGCTGGGTAAGGGCCCATAGCCTGACCAGGGTGAAGGGTAGCAAAGCCAGAAGGAACGATGTTCAGTGGAAATACAACCTCTGGGTCAATGGCGAAACTAATGTCCAAATACACCTGGGAAACAGAAATAGATCAAGAAGTAAAAGCTACATCAGAAATCATTTGAATAAAACTGCCATTTATGGATTATTAATTAGGTTGATTGTACTGACAGATACACATGATTATCATACTGCAAATGTTTCAACAGCATCATACACTCTAATTTCAAAGTTGCTTTATATTTCTAATAACTGTTCAAGTGCGTTATTTAATACAAGAATTGTCTGTTATAATTACGTGACCACCAATATTTGCAAACAAAAGCAATTAATTAACTCCTGAGTTGATGTAACATCACTATTTCATTATTAAATACCTTCACGTAATGGTCAACCGAAAGGATTTCACAATTATGGACAGTGTTGACGGCATCGACAGGAACCTTCAGTTGGCAGGAGACAGTTTGCTCTGAGTTCTGTGGGAGAATCTCTCCAACCATTTTGTACAGACTTTGGTAGCTGGCTTTATGGGAGGCATGGGCGCGGTACAGTATTCTCTGGACTATACTGAATTTGGGCCTCGTTGTTTTGGAAGAGGAGTTGCTCATTTTGGCAACAACAGATAAAGTGTCACCTGTCAAAAAGAAAATCATAATATCTGAATATGCACAGTTGTATCGATAAAGCGTACATGTAGAGAACTTGTGTAAATTTGTTTTGAGATGTGACAAACACTAAAGACTTAACACACAATGAACAAAGCTGTAAATATCTGATATCATCTGATATCATCAATACACTGTATTTTATGTCCAGATAAACAGTAAGCTAACTATTGGTTAGCAGCTACTTTAGCAACAAGCAGCTAAGCTATCTCTCCATCAAGAAACTCCATAAATCACTGAGCGTTGAGGCAGAGCAACAAAATAGGCAGAGAGGTCACTGCATGACACACCTTGAATGACATTAATTTATTCATTTGCATAGTGAATAATGTAAAAAGTAAATTAAGAAATAAATAGGTTTGGGGAAATACATAGGGGGTAAATGCCAAGGGGAAATAATACACACATAAATGCATAAACATATTTTAAAAGGAAAACATTAATAAATAAAATGGAATTTTGGTCATATATTTTCTGCATTTAATGGCAAATTAATTTCATTTATTTTTTTATTTTGGCAGTTGCGGTCCTCCATATAAATCAACACTTAGTTGTGTTCCAAGTAAGCTAGAGTGACTTTACCTGGAGAGCAAATCCTTTTGTCAATGGTAGCAGATATTTGGACCTGACCTTTGGAGAAAACCCCAACGTTTTTATCCACTGACCCAGACTGAGGAAACTAGAACAAACCATACAAACATTATTTCATCAACTCAATGCCTCATATGGCTGAAATTGAAAGGCTTCTTTCTAATAACCTTTGGATTAACCCATCCTTGTTCACCATAAATAGTTAAATCTTTAACATCTCAACATTAACCCTCCCTGACAAGGTTTAAAATGGTGTTGATCTATACTGTATGCTATCTCTTGATTCTTTAATGAGCCATATAATCATAACAGTAGCAACAAATAATGTAATAATTTGTCAAAATGTAATACTTTTTATATGTATATATAACCTATATTTTGTGACAATCTGCTGCATTTTGTAATGAACGCAAAACCCAATATGTAATAAAATCTCCTACAAAATTATAATAAGTATAATAAATTATTACATATTTTGGTGGCTATTATAAAATGTGGGAGGTTTTTTTTTCTGAACTTACATATTGCGCTCATGATATTTATGGCGGTGATACTGCACATGTTGCTAATGAGCCATATAATCAGTAAATTTTCAACACTCTCTTGACTCATGTGTACGCAAACGTTTATTCAACATATCGTCATATCGTACAAACTCTCAGATTACTGCAGGTGCTGCTGCTGCTAAACCTGTTTCCTTTGTTTGCCTTTCCTCTTCCTCATGTGGCTTATCTTAAATATCTTCCTTTTCTAGCAGCCACAAGCCAGTTTAAGTGCTGCAGAAGAAGATTAACTTGTTTTACTGTCATGTTTCACCTACCATTCCTTGGCCAGGGACTGAAAAGGACTTGGACACAAATTTGAGCTCTTTCTTTACATCAGCAGGCATTCGCCAGCTCCTCGACATCTTTGCTTCAAGGATGTACTGGATTCTTCCATGAATCCCCCTGAAGGATGACGGAAAGTCCCTGTAAGCCAGAAACAGTCCACAAATGCAGTTATATGGGAAAGAAAACAATAATACAGTACTAATGCTAGATGTTAGAAATTCCCACTTACCCCTGTGGGATTTGAAGCCTGAACTTAAAACGATGAACTCCTTGAGGGAGTTCAGTGCCTAAAAAAAGAAGTGAGAATCATTGACAATTCCTGTAGATACCAAATGAATGAAAGAGCCTTTCATGTGGTTCCTGGAAGTTCACAATCATAAATCAACAACATTTGTATATGCAGTACTTCAGAATGCGTTAAGTTAATAGATAACATTCAAGACGCATTTCTTTTGTGTATACTTGTGGATTGCAGACATCACTGGAACGAAACAATTTCCTGATTTTTTTTAGATTTTTTGAAAAAGCATATCTTAAGAATAATGTATTTGGACAATGTATACAGTAAAAAGCAGCAGTCACCCAATACCCAGACAGGGGTAAGATCCTCAGCGGCCACTTTTTAATAGCAATATATGTGTAATAAATATATTAAGGCGATAAAAACATCATATAGGCCGATCAATCTTATCAAACTAACTCCCATGGCTTTAAAACTGGAGAATATCTTGTTATGCGATCACACTGTCCAAACCGGTGTGTATGGCGCAATGGAACATGTGACATGAGACAGGTGAGTTTAGGGAAATAACCGTCCTCAGAGGCTCAACTATGTGTGACACATATATGAATTTTGCTACAGTATTCCCTGGTTTGATACAAGGAATGTTCAACACGTAAAGATATCATAACTACAAACATAGTTAGGGACACGACTAGATAATGACCATGTACAAACATGTATATGGGTCATTTCCACAGACTGGATTACAGCATCAAACACAAGTACATTAACACAAAAGAGCCCAAACGCCACATAGGCCAACACATTTCTTTGGCTTACCTTTAGAATTTTCTGCCACTAAGCAGTCTTTGACTTTCAAGTATCTCCTGTGCGCCGTGTGAGATCTCCTGTTATCTCCAGTCCCCTCCGTCCAGTGTACGTGCGCGTCTCCTTTGAGTTTCACTGCGAGGCTCTTCACTTTGGTTTCTTTTGTCAGGGTGAAAGTGACCGTTCCTATAACAGTATCTCCTACAGAAAATGTGTCCTGTGGGTTGACAGCTTCATAAATCAGGTTGAGGTCCTTTATCGGAGACATTGCGGCTGTACCGGCCGGACGCGTTGCGTTTGTGCCACCTGTGGTTGTGGAGCAAGAGTCCAGCTGGCTCCACCCAAAGAGGGAAGTGGAACGCGCCCAACATTACCTTACCTCAGCTGCTAGTCAGGTTTACACAATTTAAGATGGAATTAAGGTTAAGGGTAAGTATTGTGTTAAATATTAGGCACTGGAGAAATTATTTCATTAAGTTGCTTAATATGCAAAATTCTTAGTGGATTCACCACATAATGAGTTATCTACAAAGATGAAAGAAACAGGTGTATCTTTGATGAAAACAGATTATTTGGGTTTTGTTTGTGCTACCTTGTGGCCTAGAAATAAAAAATACAACCAGAGGAAGTAGTTATAACAAAGTGTTCTCATGTGAGTTTTCTGGTAAAAGAGGAATAATAATAAAAAAGGAAAGAAATAGGTGTATCTTTAGATTATTCACCAAGGGCTGTGCTATCTTGTGGCCTAGAAATGAAATAAATAGAACAGAATTAAGTATTTATAATACAAATAGTTCTCACTCACACTCAAAGATTCGCAGAGACTTTACACAAAACAGTTCTTTATTAAAATGTGGAGTAAACACTGCCAGTGTGAGAGCAGAACAAATCAGGTTTGCTAAGTATTGTGTAATGAAATATACATAAGTAGCTGTCACATGTTAAACTCCACAGACTTGAAAATAAAGGAAACTATATATTTTGCTTCCTTGTTGAACACTTTAATAAAAATAAAAATAAAACATTAAAAGATTTTTCTTGATACTGTACAAGTTGTCCAGTTTTTATGTCCTACAAACAAGAGGAGGGGCACAGGAGATACAGGGGAAGTTGTAAACACAAGGACACATGGGAAAATACTTCTGGGGTCATATGATAAGGAACAGGAGATTAAATAGACTTATTTCTTTTCAGTATGTCCTCGTCCGTCTTCTGAATGTTTCATTAAATATATATATATATATAAAATGTGTACTTTGATGTGTGTTGTGTTTGTGTGTGTGTTGAGGCACTCACAGAGTAAACACTGAGGAAGAGTCACATGGACGAGGACCAGAGCCAAAGAGTTTAGTACCATTGTAATCTTCCAGCCCATCCCCATTCACATGTACACATACATATACAGACATCATTAATTTTACACAGCCCACGTTTCAACAACATTGACATCTTTCTAAGATATGATTGTTGTTCATGCTTTGGTTCGGTTTCAGTCGATACTCTGAAACCTGAAAATAAAAGCCTATTTAAACTCCTTTGCAAATATTACAACGCACCACACCCACCATAAACGTTGCTGTTTCACATTCACTCAGCTCCGCCTAGTGGTAGAAAAGTAGCTACATTTACACTGAAAAGAATTGGAAGGAAAAGATCTAAGGCCTTTATCAACCAATATACAGTATTGTGGACATTTCCATGGATTAAATTGGAAATACAGAGGATACATTCAGTCTTTAATTGATTACAGTTTACCAAACTTACCATAGTTCATACTGAAGAAAACCATGATATGGTATGATATGCAGGACATTTGGTCCTCTGGGGCGAAAGTGGTTAATCTATTATAGGATATGGTTCTGTCACCTCAAAACCCATTGTACCTTCAACTGAAGTGGTGGAAAAAAGACACAAGTCAACTAGAAGCGATGACCAAAACTGAACATCACAGGTTTTATTTCTTTGGCCTGAGTATAAGCCACATTTCAATCAAAACAAGTCACAGTGGTGCCATTTCGTGGCTGGCTGTCTTAAGTGCACTTAACTAAATTAGATCCTTGGCCTGAAAGCCGGCAATCTGTAATTGAATTTGCAGGCCACAGCAGAATACATCATGCAACTGATATCAGTTAGATAGACCTTCAACTGGAAGTGGGTGAAAATAAAACATACAAATCAAGAACAAGTCAATTAGAAGTGATGATGGTGGATGTGATAGTTGTGTTTGTCCATCTTCAGTAGTAAGAAGGAAATCAGTTCATGCAAGACCAGCCTGATGTAAAGACAACATGAATCAGCATTGCTATGATAACTTCACAGTGATGCCATTGACAGAAAGGAACAAATAATATGATTCATTTTTATATACAATGGATTTCCTTTAAAGCCTATCCCAATTTTCAGCAAATATACATTTATACTACACTGGTATGATCCGACACCACTAGCTGGCTGGAAAGTAATTCATCTAAGAATATATATATTACTTTTAAGAGTCACATACTGTAGGAAGACAACATTCACTAAACTACTGCTAGTGAGAGTCTTACGTGGTTCAGCCTGTCTGTGTATATCAGAGACAGTTCTTGGAAGAGTCCCAGGTTCCAACAATTTCCCCAGATGGTGGAGAGGTTGGTGTTGGTGTCAGTTATGTTTGCTGTCTCTCCCATTGCACAGTGTCTGGTTAACAAGTGTCCGCCACCTGCTGCCCTGCTAGTAAAGAAGATGAGCCAAAAGAACATAGCACTGGACATTTTATAGACTACTCTTATTAGGTGAAAGTAAACAATATATATCCTCCTTACTTTTTGGCTATGTTTAAAGTAATTTGATTAAGGTACAAAAAGATTTTTTGTGAACTTTTGTCCCTTCTACAAAATACTTTTTCCTTGAAAGTAAAACCAAAGTGAATTCTTGTGTGGGACTAAAAAGGGGGGTGAGGTGGCCTTTCTTGGAGCATGAGCATGTCTGGAAGCTTGCCTCTCTGCCCATATCCCAGTCTTATCACTATCACCACAAAAGATGCATATGAGTTGCTATCAGCCGGAGACAATCTACCTCCCAAAGTTTCTTCTTGCAGCAGCAGATATTTACTTATTTATTATTTTGTTTGGCTGTTCACATTATTTTTTGAATGTGGTCTACATCAGAATGCAGTGTGAACAGATTCCCGGTCCTGAAGTGACCCACATGATCAATGTCAATCTAAAGTGATGTAAAAGTCACAAGCATTCTGATATGACTGTTCACACTGAGGTCACATTGCAATAAATTTGAAGTGGATGTGATTGAGACCACATTTGAAAGTGAATTGAAAAGATCAGATTCCATATGATTTGTGCTGTTCACACTGCCATGTAAAAATCAGATATATCAGCAAATCTGATTAGCGTCACTTTGGCTTGCAGTCTGAATGCAGCCTACGTATAGCCTCTGATTCTAAACTTAGAGTTTAAACAGAGTCTCTCCTGATTAAACGTATATTATATACAATATACGTTTAATGTGTGAAATAATATGAGAGTATTTTTTTGCCACTTGCGACATACGTCATAGATCATACAAGTGGGCGAGATCAAAACTTCATGCAACCTCCCTTTTAGCATACATCACTTATATAGATGAATGGAGCATCCATGCATTCCTCCTCATATCTCTTCAGGGGGACACGCATGGTCCCAAAAGTTTAGGTTTCCTTTGAAATGCAATGTTATTGTCCAAGGATCAAAGCAACATACATGTCTTAAGGGTGACTGTCCACCTGTAACTACTGTAACTACTACTGGTCATTAGGCCTTTTCAAATAAAAAAAAATCACTGTGGACTACCGTTTGTGCTGTGTGTTCATTTGTTTACTCCTTTGCATATTCTATTACTATCTTTCATTACTCTGGAAAGCCTGGATTTTTAAAACCAAGTCACATAATTCATAGACACTCATTGTTTACCTCTACAGCAAAATAAGCTTCAAATCAGTGCATAGAATAATCAGAGACATAAATGACAACCATGACAGCACACAATGAAAACATACAACATACAACAATAAATAAAACAAAAACACAATATGTTCACAGCATAAGCTTAAGTATACAAATACTAACTAGTTGGTGTCACAAATTGTTAAAACTGAGAAGGATGTATGTGTTTAAAATATGGCTGTTTCTACTTCCCACCTGAAACAACAGTAGGTGGTCAATGGGCCTTTTGATATAAAAAAAAATCCCTGTGGCATATTGTTTATGCTGTGTTCATTTGTTTACTGTTTTGCATATTCTGTTACTACCTTTCATCACTCTGAAAAGTCAGTCATTTCACAACTAATATACACAACTCATAGATAGTTGTTAACCACTATAGCAAGAAAATGTGTTTACAACCATTGCGCTAAAACTCTGTCACAGTTTATTCATTCATTAAGAGTGAGGTTAGAGTAATTATTTAAATTGTCAAAACTGAGAAGACCGTTCTTCTTTAAAATATTGCATGGATGGGGACAGGGACTCACCTAGTAGAGCTCATGCCCCATCTACTAAGACTGAGTCCTTATCGCAACGGCCTGGGTTTGATTTCAGCCTGTGGCCCCCATCTTCCTTGTTTCCTGTCTATCTTCAGTTGTTTATCCATTAAAAGCAGTACTTCCGGCAGTCCTGAGATAACATCTGTTATGATTTGGCACGTCTTGCCAGTGTTTTGTGTTCTGTCAGTGCTGAACACACTGATCCAGGATGTTGAGGTGGAGCCAGGTCTCAGTGAAGATGAGGGCACAGCTACTGGTCGAGTTAAAGAGCATAAAAACATTTGTTGTACTTTGTCATGAACGAATAAACATTTGTAATAAAAGTAATAAACCCAGTGAAATGTATCATGTATTTGTATTTCTAGACTATTTGTGTTCTTTTTGAAGCTCAGCATCATCTGACCCAGTGCGACCCACAGTGTCATGAGAAGGGAGGGAAAGGGGCATATAATTTGGAGGTTGTTCTCCCTGTTGAAACATAGGTGGAGCAGTAGGGGCTTGATACGGCACTGGTGGGAAAGCTGCATTTGGATAGCCATACGGAGCAGGCTGTTGGGGCCACTGATTGTAGCCACTTGTTGGGTTCAGCTGTTGAGTGGGATTTGGTGCTGGGTATAAGTACCCGGACCTGTGGGCATAGGATATGGACCAGTAGGGAAGGCAGGGGGAGGGAAGTCACTGTAACTTGGGGCCCCAACAGCCCCAGCTGGGTAAGGGCCCATAGCCTGACCAGGGTGAAGGTTAGCAAAGCCAGAAGGAACGATGTTCAGTGGAAATACCACCTCTGGGTCAATGGCGAAACTAATGTCCAAATACACCTGGGAAACAGAAATAGATCAAGAAGTAAAAGCTGTCTACATCAGAAATCATTTGAATAAAACTGCCAAAGCAATTAATTTGCTCCTGAGTTGATGTAACATCCCTATTACATAATTTAATACCTTGACGCAATAGTCAACTGAGAGGATTTCACAATTATGGAGAGTGTAGATGGCATCGTCAGGAACCTTCAGTTGGCAGGAGACAGTTTCCTCAGAGTTCAGTGGGATATTGTCCCCAGCCATTTTGCACAGACTTATCTCACTGGAAGTAGTGGAGCCACTGGCGCGGTACACTGCTGTCTGCAGTAAATTGAATTTGGCCCTCATTGTTTTGGAAGAGGAGTTGCTGATTGTGGCAACAACAAATAAAGTGTCACCTGTAAAAAAAAAACATATTATAGCATTTGAATAGGCAGTTTTCTGGAATAATATGACCACACATAGACATACACATATGTGGTATTTAAGTGCTGTAAAATTGTTAATAAAGTTAATAAATAAACACCTGAACTACTTCCTTGTGACTGAGTAATGAAACATGAATGAACAAAGCTGTAAACATCTGATATCATCTGGCAATACACTGTATTTTATATCTGGCAATCACACTTAGTTGTGTTCAAAGTAAGCTGGCGTGACTTTACCTGGAGAGCAAATGTTTTTGTCAATGGTAGCAGACATTCGGACCTTTTCTTTGGAGAAAACCCCAACATTTTTATCCACTGAACCAGATTGAGGACACTAGAATAAACCATACAAACAAACATTATTTCACGTCAACTCAACGCCTCATATGGTTAAGTCCAGCAGAAAGTCATCGGACTATTAACTTTCGGATTAGGCCATCCTTGTTCAGAAACACCTATGTGCACTTCAACACTTTCTTCACTCCCAAACAATCAGTTTGTGGTATCTTCTGTTATTAAACATATTAATTGACATATCATACAAACAGGTTATTGTATGTCCGGTTGCTTAAACTGTTAACAGTTTTGCCTTTCCCTCAAGCCCCTCTATTCCATTCTGTCAATTTGTGCTAAGAGTGTCCTGACTGAGTTCATTCATGTTTTTTTAACCCCCTTTTTTATTTTAGCAGGAATATACAACACTTGTATCAGTGACAAATACAACTGCCTTTTATTGTTCCTGAGTGAGTAGTTTATTCAGTTGTATTTGATATTCCAAATTATGTTTACTTTGTCATTGTGTTTCACATCTAATTCTGAATAATATTATGATCTGTTAAAGTACAGATGTATTGATATACAGATTGATGTGATTTCGTTACATTTCTGTCAAAGTTTGGAGTTATTTCCTATCTTATTTTGTAATTGTCTTCCTCATGTGTCTTGCTTAAATGTCCTTCCTGTCTGTTTAGCCTCGAGTTTTGACTATGTGCCCTGCCCTGCTTATTTTCACCTCTCTTATTGCATTTGGGTGCAATCCTGAGTTTCCAGTGTTGTGACAGATTTTTGTATTCAAGCTAATGTGATGGAAGTTAATTTGGATATATAATAAATGCTTATGGATTCCTCTGTTTGCTTCAAATATCCAAAATATTTTCCTTTTCAGCAGCCTAAAGTCAGTTCAGTTGCTCCAGAAGGAGATCAATTTGTATCATTGTAAATGTCACACATACCGCTACTTGGCCAGGGAGGGAAAAGGACTTGGACACAAATTTGAGCTCTTTCTGTGCGTTCGAGGCCATTCGCCAGCTCCTCGACATCTTTGCTTCAAGGATGTAGACGATCTTTCCATATTCCCCTTTGAAGGATGACGGAAAGTCCCTGTAAAACAGAAGCAGTCCACAAATGCACTTATATGTGAAAGAAAAAAATGATACAGTACTAATGCTAGATGCTAGATATTCCCACTTACCCCTGTGGGAATTTAAGCTCAAACGTGAAACTGTGGGCTCCTTGGGGAAGTACAGTGCCTTAAAAAAAAAAAAAGAAGTGAGCTTTTAAAAATAACATAACTTGTCTCCAAGATAAGCAACATAACATAATTCCTTTGGCCTACCTTTGGCATTTTCTCCCACCAGGTATTCTTTATGTTTGAAGTATTTTGTGGTTAAGGTTTTTGGAAAAAAAAAAAATAAAAAAAAATTAAAAAAAAAAAAAAAAAAAATAAAAAAAAAAAAAAAAAAAAAAAAAAAAAAAAAAAAAAAAAAAAATAAAATAAAAATTAAAAAAAAAAAAAAAAAAAAAAAAAAAAAAAAAAAAAATCGTATTTGACTACTGTAAAATAATATTGCTCAATTTTATGGCTATGGATGGTATACTTCTGCACATCTAAACTACACAATATCAAGCACTTTTACTGCAGCAATTTGGAGAAATTCAACATAAAGTCCTTTTTTCTTTTGAGCTACTGTAAAATAATATTGCTCAATATTTTATGGCTATGGATGGTTTATTTTATTTCTAATCTAAGACTACACACACACTCAATATCAAGCACTTTTACTGCAGCAATTTGGAGAAATTCAACAATAAATATTATTTTTACTCCAGGAATACCATATTTGGTAAAATAATATTATTTTGTTCTATAGATTTGTTTGGAAATTTAAGAAAAATGTCATATTTTTAATGGCATTTCCTATTTGGTGTAAAATAATATTGCTCAATATTTCATGGCTATGGATGGTATATCTGACTTCTACACATCTAAAAAAAAAAAAAAAATATATAAGACTTTTACTGCAGCAATTTAGAAATTCAACAATAAAAGTCCATATTTTTTCCTCAAAATATATTTAATTTGGTACTGTAAAATAATATTGCTCAATATTTCATGGTATATCTGACTTCTACACATCTAAACTACACACATACTCAATAGACTTTTACTGCAGCAATTTGGAGAAATTCAACAATAAAGGTACTTATTTTTACCTCCAAGTGGCACATTTCACCATATTTGAGCTACTGTAAAATAATATTGCTCAATATTTCATGGCTATGGATGGTATATCTGACTTCTACACATCTAAACTACACAAACTCAATATCAAGCACTTTTACAAAAAAAATAAGAAAAAATAAAAAAAAAAAAATTTTTTTTTTTTCAGTGGCATATTTATTTGAGCTACTGTAAATAATATTGCTCAATATTTATGGTATGGATGATGTACTTAATTTTTAATCTAAGACTAACACAACTCATATCAGCATTTTACTGAGCAATTTGGAGAAATTCAACAATAAAAGTCCTTATTTTTACCTCCAAGTGGAATTTCATATTTGAGCTACTGTAAAATAATATTGCTCAATATTTCATGGCTATGATGGTGTACTTGACTTCTACACATCTAGACTACACCACTCAATATCAAGCACTTTTACTGATAATTTGGAAATTTAAAAAAAATTTTGTACCTCCAAGTGGCATATTTCACCTATTTGAAAAGAACTACTGTAAAATAATATTGCTCAATATTTCATGGCTATGGATGGTATATCTGACTTCTAATCTAACACTACACACATACTCAATATCAGACTTTTACTCAGCAATTTGGAGAAATTCAACAATAAAGTCCATATGTTTACCTCAAGTGGCATATTTGACCACATTTGAGCTAGTGTAAAATAATATTGCTCAATATTTCATGGCTATGGATGGTATATCTGACTTCTACACATCTAAACTACACACATACTCAATATCAAGCACTTTTACTGCAGCAATTTGGAGAATTCAACAATAAAGGTACTTATTTTTACCTCAAGTGGCACATTTCACCATATTTGAGCTACTGTAAAATAATATTGCTCAATATTTCATGGCTTGGATGGTATATCTTTAACATCTAACACTACACATATAATTATTAAGTTTTTTGTTTTTATTGTACTTTTAAATTTAAACCTAGAATAATGTCCATATTTTACTCAGTATTCATATATTTTTTGTTGTACTTAATAATATTTATATTTTTTTTATGATTTAATATTTAATTATATATTAATTTATGGTGGTAATAAATTTTATGGAATTTGGAGAAATTCACAATAAGGTACTTATTTTACCTCCAGTGGCACATTTCTATTTGAGCTACTGTAAAATAATATTGCTCAATATTTCATGGCTTGGATGGTGTATATTAACTAAAATATATCGACTTTACTGTACCATTTGAGAAATCTAAAACAAGTATATTTATCAGTGATATTTGAGCTACTGTAAAATAATATTCTATATTTCATGGCTATGATGGTGTACTTGACTTCTAATCTGACACTGCACATATACTCAATATCAAACACTTTTACTGCAGCAATTTGGAGAAATTCAACAATAAAGGTACTTATTTTTACCTCCATGAATTATTTGTACTGTAATATATTTATATTTTGGTTTTTAAATTAAAATAATTAAGATAACACACACTCAATATCAAGCACTTTTACTGTACCAATTTGGAGAAATCTAGAACAAAGTCCATATGTGTACCTCCAAATGGCATATTTGAGCTACTGTAAAATAATATTGCTCAATATTTCATGGCTATAGATGGTGTACTTGACTTCTACACATCTAAGACTACATTTGGAAATGTATATAGTCACACTTGTTTTAAGGAAATTCTAGAGTATTTTTAATTTTCAGAAAACATATATCATCTGAATGTCAACAAACTGTTTTTACTGTTGGGTTCACATGGGCCATTTTTAAAGCAAGTTATACTTTAAAACATTGAAAATAACATTAATTGGCCTAAATGAATTAAATACTATACGGGCCCTAACTTCATCACAGTTATGCCCGTGTATGTAAGCTAATTCATGCTGTAAAATGATTTAATTAGTGTGAAATGGTCTATCAACAAAGATGGAGTGGTGGATAGCCACAGAACCAATTTGTTATTTTAAGGTAAGTCAAGGACCTTTGACAATGGCCATGCATGTTTGTTCATCATTAAATGTGGCATCATTTCCCAAAGTTATGTGCGTCTACCGACAAGTAAGCATTACATTCTGATCCTGTGGTTGCCTTATGTCTTATATTTCAATATTATATCATTACATTATAAACTACGCTTCGGCCTCATAAGAAACAATGTCTGACAAGGACGTCGATGACCTTGCAGAGTTTAAGCAATTTAAAGCTAAGTAAAAGTTCAATTCGAGTTCTTCATAAATAAAATAAAATAATTAGTAGCAATACTTACCTGCTCTTTCCGGCATTTTCATGTAATAAACGTGTAATACACAGCAGGTCAGTAAATTATCCGTTAGGACGTATCACTCTGTTTGTGTGATGTCTTCTCCAACAACAACCTGTCTCAGGTATTATGGGGGATTCTCGTGTAGGTGTGAAAACACCAAGATCTGTCGCTCCACTTGAAGTTAAAAATCATTACAGGTCTATCCAAACCTTTTATAATTAGCCCATCTTTGATAGGATGGCTTAAAAATAAATGTAATTTATTAACGATATCTGCAAGACATACTCAACTATATAAATAAAGTTACTTTAAGTTATGTATTTATCGGAAAACATTTTACTCTTGAAGTATAAATACAGATACAGTATACAGTATATCGGCCAGGAAATATTGAGCAATGTGTTTTTACAGTAGTTCAACATGGGAAAATATGCTCTATATATCTAGATCTGTAGATAGAACTATGGGACTTTTATTGTTGAATTTCTCCAATTGCTGCAGTAAAAGTGCTTGATATTGAGTATGTGTGTAGTCTTACATGTGCAGAAGTCAAATATACCATTCTAGCCATGAAATATTGAGCAATATTATTTTACAGTAGCTCAATGTGGTCAAATGTGCCACTTAGGTATACATATGGACTTTTATTGTTGATTTTAATTGTGATAAAGTGTTGATATTATGTGTGTGTTAGATGTGTAGTAATAACATCCATAGCCATGAATATTGAGAATATTTTTTACAGTAGCTCAAATGTGGTAAATCCACTTGAAGTAAAATAAATACATTTATTGTTGAATTTCTCCAATTGCTCAGTAAAATGCTTGATATTGAGTGTGTGTGTAGTCTTAGATGTGTAGAAGTCAAGACACCATCCATAGCCATGAATATTGAGCAATATTATTTTACAGTAGCTCAAATATGCCATTGGAGGTACACATATGGACTTTTGTCTTAGATTTCTCCAAATTGGTACAGTAAAAGTGCTTGATATTGAGTGTGTGTGTAGTCTTAGATGTGTAGAAGTCAAGTACATCATCCATAGCCATGAAATATTGAAGAATATTATTTTACAGTAGCTCAAATATGGTGAAATGTGCCACTTGGAGGTACAAATATGGACATTTGTTCTTAGATTTCTCCAAATTGGTACAGTAAAAATGCTTGATATTGAGTGTGTGTGTAGTCTTAGATGTGTAGAAGTCAAGTACACCATCCATAGCAATGAAATATTGAGCAATATTATTTTACAGTAGCTCAAATATGGTCAAATGTGCCACTTGGTAAAATAAGCTTATTGTTGAATTTCTCCAAATTGCTACAGTAAAAGTGCTTGATATTGAGTATTTGTAGTGTTAGATGTTGAAGTCAGATATACCATCCTTAGCCATGAAATATTGAGCAATATTATTTTAAGTGTCAATATGGTGAAATGTGCCACTTGGAGGTAAAAATAAGTACCTTTATTGTTGAATGTCTCCAAATTGCTGCAGTAAAAGTGCTTGATATTAGTGTGTGTGTAGTTAGATGTGTGAAGTCGTACACCATCCATAGCCATGAAATATTGAGCAGTATTATTTTACAGTCTCAAATGGTAAAGTGTGCACTTGGTAAAAATAAGGACTTTTTTATTTAAATTCCCCCAAATTATAAAAAAAAAAATTTTTATTATTTATTTTTTTTTTTTTTTTTATTTTTAAAAAAAAAAAAAAAAAAAAAAAAAAAAAAAAAAAATTGAAATATTTTAAGTAGTCAATGTGGTAAATATGCCACTTGGAGGTACAAATATACTTTGTTTTATTTTCCAATTGCTGCAGTAAAAGTGCTTGATATTGAGTATATGTGTAGTGTTAGATGTGTAGAAGTCAGATATATCCTAGCCATGAAATATTGAGCAATATTATTTTACAGTAGTTCAAATATGGTGAAATGTCCACTTGGAGGTAATATTTTTTTCTCAGTTGGTGGAAGAAAAGTTGGTGTGTATGGGGTGTTTGAGGTTTAAAAGATTAAGAAATATAAAATTGGATTATTTTACAGTAGCTCAAATATGGTAAAGTTGGGTAAGGACTTTTATAGTTGAATTTCTCCAAATTGCTACAGTAAAAATGCTTTTATTTTAGGGAATAATCATATGTGATATTAGATATTATTTTACAGTAGCTCAATGTGGTCAAATATGATTGGAGGTACAATATGGACTTTATTGTTATTTTAAATTGCTGAGTAAAAGTGCTTGATATCGAGTGTTTTTATTTTGTGAAATTTTGATATTTTTTTTTAAAGTAGGTTGAAGGGAATTTTTTTAAAAAAATTATCCTAATATTATAATCTTTTTACAAATGTCTTCTCATTTTATTTAATGCTAGAATAATCGCACTGAATAATTTTAAAGTTATAGGTGGCACCTGTAAGTGCTCTTGTCGTCTCCACTGCCCTCCGTCCAGTGCACATTCGCGTCTCCTTTCAGTTTCACAAGAAGGCTCTTCACTTTGGTTTCTTTTGTCAGGGTGAAAGTGACTGTGCCTGTCACAGTATCTCCCGCAGAAAAGGTGTCCTGTGGGTTGACAGCTTCATGAGTCACTTTAAAGTCCTTTATCCGAGACATTTGAGATTTCGGTCGGACTTGCCGCTTGTTGTGGCTGGGTGAGAAGTCCTACTGATTTCAGATCAGCAACTGAACTCTAAATGGCTCCACCCTGAGAGTGAGGTAACAAAATAAAACCCAGTTACAACATTTATTAAAGCACACATTTAAGCAACTCTCCTGTCGTAACACTATACTGCTCGAGGCTATATAACCGACACAACGTTAAGGTGAAACACATCTTATAAAGTTTTTCAGTACAATGGTCAAAGTGACTATTTCACAGGGAAAATATTAAGTTTGCTTGCTGAATACACAATTCTTAATTGTCTTCCACATTTACATTAATCTTTCAGAAAAAAATGAATAATGATTTATCTTTACAAGAGGAAAGAAAAGGGGTGTAACTACTGAAACAGAATTCAGTAGTTACAACAAAGGGTTGTGTTTAAACGAGTTTTTTTTTTTTTAACGAGCCGCACTTAAATTTACAGCGTATTCCTTTTCCGGTTTTCAAAATAAAGGTATTAAGAACTGTAAGCTATAATTCGAACCTACATTTAAAATAAAATATGTTACATTAAAGTGTTTCATGCGCCCATGATGAAAAAAAAAAAACATACTTAATACCAAGCATTTCTACTGCACCAATTTGGAGAAATTCAACAATAAAATTCCACATTTGTACCTGTTTTTACAGTACCTCAAATCTATATGAAAATATGCCACTTGGAGATACAAATATGGAACTTTTGTTTTGGCATTTCTCCACATTGGTGCAGTAGAAATGCTTGATATTAAGTATGTTTTTTATTCATCATGGGCGCATGAAACTACTTAATACTTAATGTCAAGCATAAATTTAAGTGCGGCTGATTTGACCACGGAGATCGGAGTAACGGCTGGCTTGACCACAGTTATCATATCACAGTCGTTATCTCGAGATCTGGAATTAATTAACTCGTTATCACGGGAAAACAAAGTTTCGTTATCTCGAGATCTCGAGAAAATTAACTCGTTATCACGGGAAAACGGAGGAAATAAAATGTATGAATGCATGGCCCTTTAGGGCTTCCGTATTAGGGGTTGTCACTCGCACCGAACGATTCACAGAGACACTTTTACACAAATGTTCTTTATTCAAATGTAGAGGAAACAATTTGAACGTAGAACAAATCAGGTTTGCAAAGTTGTGTATTAAAATAAACAGAGGTAGTTCTCTCGTGTTAAACTCAACAGACTTAATTTGGGGGGGAAATATACATATTAAGCCTCTTAGTTGGTTGCTTTAATTTAAAAGAATACATATTTAAAAAAATTCTTGACACAGTACATGTTGTCCAGGGAGTAAGTATAAAGTATAGTGTTAAAAAATAAATAAAAATCAGTCTAGCACACTTGAGCTGAACAAGGCACGTAAAATGCCCAGTGTATCCTGATGACTGAGGTTTGAGTAAATATGTTATCAGCTGAACAAAGCCAATCAGCAACCTGAACTGACCAGAAAACAACTCATCACATACAAGGCAAAAGTCCTATTTTGTACATTTTGTTCAAAATGGCTTTTTAATTTTAACTACACATTTAATGACACTAATACAGTGTTAAAGACACGATTTAGGTGATTGATTGCACATTTTAACTTCTAGCGTACATCATTTTGGATCAAATTTTGTAGCAGCAGAAGTTGGGAAGAGGAGCGAATATGCCGGAGGAGCTTCATCTGATTGAGACAAGAAGTCAGTGTTCATCATTGGCGCAGAAGGCAGCATGTTGTATGAAGGAGCAGTCGGGGATACATTTAACGGTGGAGGATAAGGAGGGGGGTTGATATCTGGGGCACATGGGGGTGTGTGAAATGTTGGAGCAGTAGGTGGAGGGTGAAGCACAGAAGACGATGAGGAAGATGAAAATGGAGATCCATACGGAGAAGCCATTGGCACTGGGTTATTGCAGCCCCCACTCACGTGAGCAGGGTATGCGGGTGGTGGTGCTGAATAATTCTGGACTCCTGGTTGTCCATAAGTGCCTGAATGTGGGGATGTAGGATAAGGACCCATAGCCACCGGAGGGGGAGGGAAGTTGCCGTTGCTTGGGCCCCCAATAGCCCCACCTGGATAGGGACCCATAGCCACCGGAGGTGGAGGGAAGTCGCTGTTGGTTGGGCCCCCAATAGCTCCAGCTTGATAGGGACCCATAGCCACCGCAGGGGGAGGGAAGTCGCTGTTGCTTGGGCCCCCAATAGCCCCAGCTGGATAGAGATGTCCAGCCATAATGGGAGGAACCACTACCACAGGGAAAATGATCTCTGGATCGAAAGCAAAGCTGATGTCCAGGTACACCTGGGAAAAAAAGCACATGATGCTTTATTTTTAAAATAGAATAGCAAGAGAGCATCTGACACAATGAACAAATTTGAACATTTTTTATCAATGTTTATGGGTCAAAGGTTTTATCAGAAGCTCAAAAGTAGCTCTGTAAAAGTACTATACTTAAACAAATATACAGTGTTGCATACCTTTAAATGGTATTCCATTGAGATAATGTCACAATTCTGGATTGTCTGAAGCAGATCACAGGGAATCTTCATTGCACACTTAACATGCTTCTGTGTTTTGGTTTTAATACAGTCGCCAGCCACTTTGTGAATAACGGTGTTCTCAGTTTTGACATTACCGCGGGCACGGTACATCACATCCCGGATTAAACTGAATTTGGGTGTCATCTCACTGGTAGAGGAATTGTGGATTTTTGCATCAATCGTGATAGTTTCACCTATGAGCAGAACAACACAATAGTTTTGATTAATTGTCATTTATTCTACTTCAACACTTGGTCTGATACTACTTCAACACTTGGTCTGATACTACTGTATCAGATCTGATCAATTATGGTCTTTTTTCAACTTTTTTTCATGCTTTACTAAAACCATCACTGACAACAGACCATTTTCATGGCAGACATAATAAGCACAGGTGTAAGCCAGCACACACACTACCAGGGTACTGGAATGGACTAAACGGTATGCGGCCAGTGTTATTACTTCCACATGTGCTTCTCCTGCATGACATGTCAAAACATCAGTTTTTTTTTAAAAAAGTTCAATTTATTTCATGTTGGCAAAAGTAATAAGCTGGATAAGGCAACTATAATGTCAACAGCATTCTTGCAGATTGTTTTATTATAATTGTCCAAAATGTTGGGTGTGACAGCCATCACAGCCTTCCATGACTTAAACCTACCATGTTTGAAGAGGAATTTTACTACCTGGAGCATAAGCTCTCCTGTCAACGGTCACATCCATGTACGCATTTCCTTTTGAGAAAAACCCCATCTCTTTGTTTGTTGAACCAACTTGGTGTGACTGGAATGCAATAAACAGAGAAAACAATTACTGTTGATCTACTGCCATTTGCTAGACAATACAGTACAATTTTATTATTATTATTTATTACAGTTACAGAGCAGTGAAAGACACCCAGGTCCTCAGGACCAGGAGTGAGTATCACTGCACTAATCTTGATCTTGTGCAGTTTTTACTGGAACTACTTTCTACAGAGGAAATGGTATCTATGAAAACTGTCCACAGCACATAAATTATTCATAATAACTGGCAAATTGCTGCCCAAATAAAATGTCAAATTCTATTGTGCCTTCTTCACAGCAGACAATTTGACTTGTATAGCAGGGAAAGCACATATGGAGCAAATGGCTTTTAGTGTAGTATTACAGGAAACCAAACATGCGACTGAGCATGTGCAATAGCTGGAGCCTCTAAAAGTAATCCATTTATTGCTATTAATTACAAATGTGCTTTCCCTACCATGAAATGTTCTGGAAATGGATTCAGAGCTGGATATCTCAAAACCCCAGCAAATAAAAGCAAAACAATCTGTGTGTAGTCCGTTTCTCTTCTTTGCTACAACAACAGTGCTGCATCCAAGAAAAAGGCACCCACTGTAATTTCACATTATAAAAAATAGTCTCTTCATACTATGCTGTGTAATAATTCTGTCTAGTGACATATCAGAGATTTGTGTATATATTTTTTTTATATTTTAAACACCATCAGAGATTGAAGGTTTGGAAAGGACTTGGAAACAAAATTGATCTCCTTTTCCACTGTATGGTCCATCCTCCAACTCCTGCACAGCTTGGCCTCTAGCTTGTAGACAATCTTTCCATGACTCCCCCTGAAGGATGAAGGCATGCTCCTGTGAAGGAGAACCAGCAGATTAACGTTGTGTAATCTTTATTTAATTAACATGAGTTTATAGAATATGCAGGAGTAGGCTATTCATGACATTGTGAAAAGATGCAAACATTATGTTAGTAAACGGTCTTACTGTACTTACCCTGGTGGTATTTTAATACTGAATGAAAAGACATGGGTACCCTGAGGAACTACAATGTCTGAAAGGGAAAAAAGTTTGGTGTAACAGTAGTATTGCACTTTTGCCAATAGACCCCCCTAAATGTTACACACTGGACCTTTTAAAGTTTTAAATGTGGGATTTAAATATTTATATTGTGGTTGCTACTTCTTTTAAAGGGTGATTGGGACAGTTTTTGAATTTCCACCTTGTGGAACCTTTCTTGCCAAAACTTAAAAAATTAGCCCAACATATGATACATTTCTGTAATACTGAAGATGTTACTCCCAATTGAAGATGAAAGAAGGTTATATCATATTCCAAAGACGTGTGACATACCCTTTTGTGTAAATCCTTTTTTTTGGTAACATTTGGTTGATTGGGACAGCACATTTTATTATAAATTTAAACTAGTGTAAGCATATCACACAATTGAATTCATACTTTGATATAATTGCACATGCACTGTGTGTGGCATTACAACCACCGTCCTCCCACTCTCTCCAAAATGTTATTGAACACATTTAATTGCAGTAAAAGTCTTCCTGCATCTCTACTGCAATAGATTACTCAGGATTAGTTAGGATGGGTTAAGAGGTCAATGCTGAAATTAGTGTTAGGTTAGGTTTGGTTAGTATATTAGTGTTTGCTATCTGGCTTTGTGGTTGATTACATACGGAGAGTACACAATGGTTCTATATTTCAAGGCTGATCATTTTCAACATTAGCGAACCCTCTTAGTGCTGTCTCATTCTACCAAACTGTTTTGGGTGATTGGGACAAAAAACTGCCAAAAATCCATCAATTCCAAAAATAGAAATATGACATAAACACATGTTTTATTGATTGTGTTGCAATAGCACACCATACTCATGTTTCCATCAAAGGTTTGTGCAATACTGTAACTATGACAATTTTATGACCTTATTATGATAAAAAAAACTAGCTCAAGCTTATGTCATTTTCCTCACACATGATGCATTTGAGGATCAACTTCCTGTGTGATGCTTACCCCACCTACCTAAGTAATTGGATGCAACTGTAATGCAATAGTGATTATGTGGTTTCACAGCTAGGGCTCAGCAAAATATGTTTTTACTTTCACTCATCAGGCGAGGAAACAAACGCCAATCACCCTTCATTCACCCTAAGCAATGGCTGTTTAACACCACTGCCTGATCGTACCATGACCATATCTGGGTGAAAAGAAAAAGAGCATGAACAGTCGAGCCCGGGTTAAGGCATGCAGAACTAAACGCCGCCTACCTTTTTCTGGGATTAAAAACTGCTTCAGTTTAAAATATCTGGTGTGTGCAGAGTACGTATAGGTGTGGTCGCCGTTCTTTTTCGTCCAGTGTACATCGGCGTCTCCTTTAGCTTTCACAAACAAGCTTTCAATTGTGGTCTGCTTTGATAAGGCCAGCGTCACTTTCCCAGTGAGAGTGTCCCCCTCTGAAAACGTCCCGAAGTCGTTCAGCGCATCGAAAGTCATCTTTAAGCTTTGGATCGCAGGCATTGTTGGAGAGGAAGGGTTCAGTGAATGGAAACTATTCAATTGGATAAAGAAATAATACAATCACTTGCTACTTTCCAAACGATTTCACTGTTTGCTATTCTGGGGCACCAATGGTTTACTGGACCGTCGAATAGGACACGCCTTATGGCCGCCTGCTCCAAGACCTCTACTGCCATCCAATGTACACAGGAGAAACTGTGGGCTCATGGGAAATATAAGACCACTCTGTGCAAATGTGCATTGTAATCGTGCAAAAATAATGGCATGGAGCCCCCTGGAGGTGAATCATAGGAAACACGACTAGGTTCCTGGATACCTTCTGCAATGTTCTGTAGTGGTCCCCAGTAATATATCTGTTCTTATGGTGTAAGGAACCAAGCTTATTGCATAATGAGCAGAGGTCTCTATTTGTTTTAAGATCCCCTCTGGTCCAGTGTGTAAAATTTAGGAGGATCTATTGGTTCTAATTGTTTTTATTTGTGTGTAATCACCTAAAAAAGGAATCATTGTGTTTTTGTTACCTTAGAATGAGCATTTTATGTCTACGGACGCTGCAAGTTGCCAACCATGGAGGCCCAGATCAGACAAATCAGTCTGGATAGGGCCATTCATGTTTCACAGCCACTTTTGTTTCTCCTTTGCACTTGGAAGGGTGAGAAGAGGGAGTTGCAATCTGCCACTGAATCCTACACACTGGTCCTGTTAGACATATACACAAATACTCTGCTTGATACAATAATATGTCTCTGCTATGTTTATTGATATGTTATGTTAAATATAACATCCACATTATGGGCTAATCCTTTAAACTACTCCTTCTATAGTATTTTCTATAGTATTCAAATCTATGTGCGCTGATGGCTTCAAGTTTCAGCATCATCCTTAAAATGTAGGTGAAATTAAAAATGTAATTTTAACCCTTTAAGATTACATCCTCAGTTATATTGTACACCTATTTAACATTGTATGACCAAAAAAAAGACAAAAAGTCAATTTCTTTGTATTTTTATATCAAAATCTGATCACTTTGTCTTCCTGTAAAACAAAACGTGATGCATGCTGCATAACTACAACTAACCAATTAATTAGGTAGCTCGTTAGCAACAGCATGGCTGTCTGCCAGAGCTGAGTGTTTGTGGGGGGCTGGACCTCACTGATTATTGTTTAAAAAAACCAAAGCATTATCACTTGTACAAAAGCACAATTTTATCAGTGATTTGGGTGGAACTGGATCACATTTAATGGAGGAAATATTGTCTGGTTTTCCCTCTGACATCCTCCAGCTGCTCTGCCTCAACTCGACTAACTGCTGCTGGAGCTGCTGTTAGCTTGCAGCAGGACGGAGCTCAGCAGCCTCCCAGTGAACGAAACCTCCGAGACATATTCCCTGTTGTCAAACTGTCGGTATCAGAAGCTGTGTTCAGGATTACCGATGTGCTTTTCACTGGGAGCATCCAGTCCCGGCAGAGTCAGCTAATGGGTCCGCTACAGCTGCTGGACTGGGGGACGTAACACACAACTGGGGACTGAGGGAACAGCTCTCTGGACTAAGTCTTAAGTTGTAAATTGGACCACTGTTGACTTCTAAATTAATTGTGACGTCACAAATCATGCTTGTCGGCCCACCCCTTCCCCTTAAAAATCAGATTTTCAATGAGTATAGATAAACCACTCTCAGCAGATGAATGTGAAAACATCCTTCTAGTACCAAGCTCAGGATTTTTTCTCAGACTTATTATTGGGCCATATGGTTTCATTAGCTTCAATGAAAAATAATACTGCTTCATAGTATTCATATACTTGAACTTCCTGATTTTCTGAAGGTTTGATATGTTGCTTGACACTAGAAACAAAAAAAAAAAATGCAATATGAGCCAAGTATGTGTACACCTATGTGTATATGTACACATACACATACAAGGAACAACAAAGCTGAGCAAAGATAGGTTAAATTATGTTACAGATGTTTTAACAGAAAGCCTTTTATTTTAATGGAAATTACAGCAATGGCCTGATGATGGTCTCTTCAACAAGGCCCGGGACCCCCACTCACACTGACTCTTAAACCCACCCTGTATATATGCATTACATTAATGCACTTCTGTTGGTTTTTTTTTTATCTTGCACATTGCAAATATCATTATTTTGCACATTTCTTTACAGCTCATTTATTTAAAGTATCCGGCCATTTTATACATATTCTCTCACTCTTTATGTAGTGGCTGCTTTTTATTGTCTCTCTCTCTATATATACTTTTAAATCTTTTTATCTTTATATTTTTCTATTCTTCTTTTTCTGTAATGCCCGGATGTACCAAGGCAAATTGATCCTGTGTGAAAACTTAATTGGCAATAAACCTGATTCTGAACTTCCAGCTTCCTATTTTTTTTGTGTCTTTTAATTATGCCCAAACTGTTTACGGGCATGAGTGAGTCGGACATTAAGGATCATGTTTACTTCTATGCAATTCATACATAAATATATAACGTCATCTAATGGCGTGAATTGAATTTCCCCGCGCGTGAGACCACCTATTGCGCATGTCAGACGCCACGGTCAAGAAGGTGGACCCTCGTCGCGCCGCGCCGCCTCGAACCGAAACCAACAACGTCTCCTCAACAACGTACCCCCGGACTATTGTAAGTCTTACTCACATGTTTTTATTTTCTGTAATCATAACAACATAAACAAGTGCCCGTTTACGGTTAAAAGTGCGGCACCAACTAGCTAGCATCAAAACTGTTCATACCAGCAACGAGGCGAATTAGAGACAAATAATGAATAAATAAACTTAATAACTTACTTTTGTCAAAGTTTCCTTTTTTAAATTACATTTTTATTTTAACACTACCGCCATGACACGTGATTGGTTGATGCCAGAAGCTCAGTAAAACCAACCCCAGTCCCCCCAAATAATTATGCTGCTTTTTCGAGGTGTCTGTGTGCAAGTACTAAAATAATAATAATAATAAATAATTAGAGAAGAATTAATAAAGCTATAAACCTTTGCCCCCAGTGTGTATAAGCCTTTTAGAGTATAACAAAAATAGATAGAACCCACATCATGGCCGCCATATTGGTACAAGGAAGCTGCGCCTCCTAACGCGCATGTTTCTTGTAAACAGTAGATCTATCTATGGAGAGTGTTCAATATCTCATACTAACATACTGCCTACTACATACTTAATCATTCTGTACTGCATACTGCGTATTGAATGAATGATTAAGTTTTGCAGACTGTTCACACTGGATCTAATCACAACATCACTGGTCTGAACTACCGCTTAATAAAAATTGTTTATCACATAGAGTAGATAGAAATGTTGGATGTAGTGGTCTGTGTGACTGGGGGGGGGACCAGGAGGGGTCTGTAAGTGGACTAGCTGGCCGGCTGGCTACCCACATTGATGTTGACGTTGGAGCACTTTTTCCATTTGCCATCAATTTTTGTAAAACCGCTAGTATTTGAAATCTGCACAGTTGATTTTTCGCGTCAAATCATTAACAGAATTGAATTTAGTGTTGAAATAACATTCGGAAATAGTAATAAAACTGGCTAGAGCTGTCTGCTTTGTGGTCTGCCATCAAACAGTCTGAAAAGACGCAATGCATTATGAGGTGGTCGAGTATGTGAAGTAAGCTCCCTCTCGTAAACATCCAGACATTTCTCACATATACACAATTCACATACTATGCAGTTGAAACACACTACATTCTCAAATTGAAGTCATGTTTAGGATGGTTAGGACGTTGGTATGTAATTTCAAAGTTAAAGTCAAAGTGGTTAAAGTTTTAAATACAGTTCAGTAATACTGAAATTACCATCACAATGCTGTGTGTGCCAGTGCCGGCTTTCTAAAATACCTGTGTTCGCTTTTAATGTTTGCCCCAGTTTAGATAATAACCTAATCTCAGTCAGGTGGTGTGCTGTCAACAAAAGTGCTATGGAAACAGTTACCCTGCCAATAAGGTGAGTGCAAAGAGGGGAAGAATAGGGATATGAAGTCAGGGCCTCAAGACAAACAAATGCGACCAATGTGAGAAAACAAAGGGACCTGCAACAGTGGAGTAAAGAGAGAAAAGGAAGTGTGATATAAGAAGAAAGTGAAATTAAAAGTTCTTGTCCCTTTTCGTTGGCACAGGTTAGTTCTTAGTAGCTGTTTGCTGCTACATGTGTTTCTATGTTTTTGTTGTCTCTGATGATGTGTATGGTTGGCATGCAGTGTTATAAACCAAAGACGACTGGTCTTTACAATCTGCATTTTGGCTTTTATTTTGTGCTAATATATTTGTAATTACAACATTTTGTAACTTTCTCATGTTATATAATTAACAAAAATAACTTTTGACCAAAAAATATGTTATGGTGCTATAGAGATTTGACGGTTTTGTTGCCTAAATTGATTATAAATGCTTGTACAATGTGAGTTTGTCAGTGTATAACACAGTTCAACCTGAGACAGAGCACCCTAAACACCTTATTTTCTTTGTTAGTCAAATATGTCTAGATGTATTTTTTCTGAATCATTTTGCTTCGATGTTATCTTTGGTTTATTTGATTGTTTTATCATTGTTATGTCTGATGTTAATGTTGGTAAAGATTCATTGAAAGGACATTATATGTTATGAACAACAGCAATCAGTTTATTTTTCCAAATAATTTTAAATACAAATTGAGGACTAAAGAATGAGGCCTAACCTGTAATAGTCAAAACAGTCAGATGATGGCCTGTACCTGGAGTGAACAGTACAAAAAACAATCCTCAAGCTAAGCTTTTTTTAACATCTGTAATTCTGAAATTTTCCAGGACAGCAAGAAACAGCATCTCCAAGTGGCATGACTAGATTTCTGGTGTGTAATGGACTAAGCTATTACTCACTGGCCTTTGATTTATTTTCATTATAAAATGTTCAGGATATTTACGATAGAATCACTAAAAAATCTCTCAAATCTCTTTATTTCTGCCGAGTGTGGCATACATTGTAACAAGTTTTTTTTGTTTTGGATGCACAGAATTTGCTAAAGGGGGTTGCCGTTTTCTGTATATTCAAAAATGACTATATTCATGTGAAAGAACTGTTATGTAATTGTTTATTTCAAAATGGTACCCCTCCTTTTGGTAGTGGACATGCAGGTAGCAAATCACGGCAACAGCTTAACTGCCAATCAGTTGTGAGCGGGAAACATATGAGTAACTGTGGCAGAAATATGAAAGTAATTAAAAGTAAGAAAAGTGAGCAAATCAAATCCTGCTTAGGGCCCTCATTAAGGACAGCCCTGCATGCTTTGAAACTCATCTACATAAAACAGAGATGAAACTGGCTGTTAGGCAGCGCCTGATAACATTTGTCCATTATGGACTGCGGAGGGCCATCTGTAGCATAACAGCAGATGCGGCTTCATATCACACAAAGACCTCATTAGTGCAGCGCTGCTTTTTTTTGTGAAGTTTCTTATTTATCTGATTTTATTTATCACCAAATAACTGCTATTGGACGGTCGATGTCAATTTTAAAATGTGTTGAGTCGCACACTAGGTAAAACTAAGCAATATTATAAAAGACTTGTTCTTTTGTAATTGATCTATTAATGGCAAAGACTTAAATCACACCCCTCAGTAGAAGCTCATTAATCTATGCCGTGTATGTGCTCCTAGTGTGATAGGTTGTATTCCTGCACTGGGAAAAAGGGTGCCTTGGTCAAGTCCAGTCTTTATTAAGATTAATGAACAGCTTGACATTTTTAGTCCTCTGTCTGAATCGATAATTTTAATACTCATGAGGGCCAATGGGGATCTAAGCTTGCGGAACACACATTGTGGCCACAGGGCGCGTGTTAAATGTCCAAGTGGTAATCAATGCAAAGAAATTAGCTATTGATCTCTTATAGTTTTGTAATAGGTTATCTATTGGTTTGCTCTTTCGGAAAATTCCAATATCAGTCGGATGGAATGGTGCTGGTAATATTGCTGGGGGGTGTGTGTGTATGTCTGTATATGCACGCACATGCACCCAGCTTCCATGTGTGTTTGCATGTGTGTGCAGGGTCACATTCTAATTAGCACAGAGGGCAGATTGTAAATAAACATGTTGAGGAGAATATTGGTGATCTGCACCAGATCCACACTTCATTACAAATCAGGCTGGGAACTTCAGGTATGTTTTATACAAGCTTAATGTTGACTAGAAGTGTAGTATTTGTAAACAGCTATCATAAATTTAAAATTTCATCATATTGTATGTGGGACCACATCTTGTGTAGGTTGTAAATGTAGGTCATGAAAAACTACTGCTATGCAAATACTTATTCAGATAAGGAACTAACCTTTTGAAGAAATTCACGTCACGCATATACACCAAATGAAATTGAAAAGAGTACCAAGCGAACTTTTACTCTTCCTATGTCACTAAAAAACACATCTCTCTTCTCTGTCTCTGTACCCAGGACGTGCAGTGTGAGTTGGATATGAATCTGCTTTGCTGGGGTAGTGGGCAACTCGGCCAGACCGGACATGGCGTACCAGGGGACATCGGTCCAGAGGATGCCCATCTGAGAGAGTTCACAGAGGTCAGGTTGGGCAGGGTGAAGCTGCTGGCATGTGGATCCAGTCACTCCATTGTGATTACAGGTACCAGTTTCATACTATACTCTTAGTTTTTATTGTGCATTGTGGATGTCTTAATGCCATTCACCAGTTTCTTGCATTAGTTTTTTAATTGGGTACTAATGTCTGGTGCAAGTTTTAGGATGAAATGCATGTATTTTATCATTTATAATATAGAAGAAAATTAGTTAGCAGATTAACTGGCCATTCATTTATACTGCTCACCTTGATATTTCTTATTTACTAATTGTTCACCGTGTTTGTTTATCGTGTTTAAGTCTTTAGTGCGTCTCCAAACATTTATGTTTTGGTAAATGTCTCCTACGTCTTGCAGTATTTGCATGTTATTGGTACAAGCTCCAATAACCAGTCTAATATACTGCTAATACTTGGATTTTGATGGCTGAAATTCTTGGTTATCCAGTGAGGCTTTAGAACGTTGACAGAACAATTAGCTCAGGGAGACATTTGATCAAAGGGTGTGTAAGCAACCAAGCCAAAAGAATCCGATAGCAACCACCATACATACTTCCTGACATTTGATGGACGTGTTTGCATATACAGGACCGAGAAAACAGATTATCTGGTCGTATCCTGTATAGGTTTCAGACCCACATAATGTCATATACGTAGGGTTTACACGCACCATGAAGTGTCTTCCTCCCTGCCCATGAGGTAATACTGGCCTACTTATTTGCCAATTTGATAGAAACCCTGATGACAGGAAGGGAGGACGCTCCTTTCGTACATTAGCTGGCAGTAGTCATAAATCAGTAGCCTAGATAAGTCTTATAGATCACCCCAACACAGGGATCCTATACCTCTACTATCATTACAGGGAAAAAGGTGACATTTTTGATTGATTAAAATGGTGCAGGCTAGCTTAGGCTAAATCATGTTAAGTGATGTGACATTGCAGTTTCACATATCATATTTCTGTCAAGACAATGATGGTGGAAGGCATTGTCAAGGCATGATATCTGACAACACCAGACATCTGGGGGGACCAGAGGAGATTTATGGGAAGGTTTTAGTGGTCTGAGGGAGATGAGAGAGAGTAAAAAGTGGTCCTTTTTTCTGCATTGTCACATCCCGAGTGACTGTAAATTTTACTCCAGTGCTATTGGGAATCGGAGACATTTACACATCCTGACAAATTGCCTGCTGTAAAAGTATTTACTGGTCTTGTCCTCCCTTTATTCTTGACCAGCTCGCAAACACATACCCCCCTCACAGACGCAGAAATATTTACCCACAGCAAATTTATGTGACATACGTTTATGTGGTGTACCTGAGCTCTAGCCCAAGATATGTCATAATGGTGTCATGTTCAGAGTACTGGTCTCCTGTTAATGTTTTAATAGAGGAGGTCTTGAGTAGTTCAAAATGGTTTTATATCTGCTACATTGTCACAAATCTCTTGCCATTTGGCCCAGCCAACCCAAGGAAAGGCTTATTTATGGAAAAATGGCTTGCAAGAGAATTCCATAAGGTTCCATAAGGTTCCATAAGGTAAACTTTTATATTTATGTAAAAGAACAAACAAAAAAACACTTTGTCACACATACAACATTCACAGAATAAGATAAACAGTAAAAATGATTAAAGGTTGTCCCCCCAGCAATGATCACCAACCAGCGTTCAGTGTAGGGCTGAAGCTATCCATTGATTAAGTAATTGAGTATTCTATCAATTATTCCATCGAGAAATCTGATAAGAAATACTTTTTATTTATTAAAGCAATAGGGGCAATATAGCTATAGTAAATTCACAGAGAAAATAGGCAGGCTTTTAAATTGCTTTCAGCGTTTTCTCTAGAATATTTTCCAGCAGTTGATGAATGGCTTCTGGTGTACTCCCACTGTGGAGGTACTGGTAGTCGAGTATTTTCAAAGTGGGGTATAAGTTCTTTTGCTTAAGTAAAGGATCTAAACATCCTTAACCTCTGGTTAGCACACCCAAAGCCTAACTGCACCGGTTTGTTACCGGCCGAGCATTCCCCTTTTAAAAAAATAAAATAAAAAAAGGTGTGCTTGTGGTTAACCTGTGCCACTTTGTTGTGGTAAGTGAGTCTTTCCCGGTATGTGAGGGCAAGTAATGTTACTTTAGTCAGCCATAAAGTGTGTATATAAGCTCAGGTTGCAGTATAATAGTTACTGAAAGGCTGTGAAGAATTGTTTCAGCCCGAGTTCAATGATAAACTGTAAATGAGACTGGCCTCGGGCTTGTGGTCATGGCGAACTTGCACTGTGCGTGAAAAGTATAGCGGTATGTTTGGTGTGGTTTTCTTTTTATCTGTGTTCAGATTGCAAGTCTGACAATGAATAATTGCTGGTGTTATTTATGACACGTTTTGAAATTATAATAATTTGGCTATTATGGAACTTAATTCCATGAATATAAAATGTATTGATAGTTCAATACAAATTATAGACTTTAAATTATAGTTTTATTTTGTAATAGGTGGCTTCAGATAAGGGTGGAATGATTACTTTGAGTAAGTCTCCTCTGTTGACTTTTTTTTATGTATGTTACATTATTGCTCCCCACTTTAGAAATACATTATTAATTGCTGCCACTGGGTGGCACTATGAGACTGCCAATAAGAAAAGTGTAGCGGAGGAGAATGGGTGGGGGTAGGTGGGAGAAAGGAGGCCCACACTTACCTCACACTCAGACAGAGCTATAATTTACTAATAGTGTGGGAGCCGCCATTGCTGTTATCTTTTAATAGATTTGTATGGGGGAAAGCAGGTGCCTGTTGTTAATGTGTCCAATTGCCCAAGTTGCCTACAGAATTTAGGGCATCCATCACTGTCGTTGGCGGTGACACCCTGTCGTTCTACTTCATGCGGCGGGCCGGCCGGGCTGGGCTGGTAACAGATGAGGCTTCTCTCTCCTCCAGACGCCCACAGTCACACAGAGACGACCGCCATACGTGCTCGCGCATGCATACACACACAAAACACACACACGCAGCTATACTACACTCTTAGAGGGCAAACTAGACTCATATCCATTACAACAGGAAATGCATACAGTTGTGCATATACATTACATAGATATCATGAGAAGAAAAACAGGTATGGTTGCTTCTAAAAAATGGATATCTAGAAATTAAATGGAATAAATTGTATGTTGGAGAGAGAAAAATGTCATAAAAAAAATAATGTGGGTAAACTTTGCCCCCTCCCATCCCTTTGAATTCTTGAACTTCCAGCTGCACCCTTGAGCTTATCCAGGGGCACCACGTTGCTTGCAAGTTTGCCCTCCGCCCTGGAAAACACCCTGTGCAGCTGTGTTTCTTTAGACCCGGGCTGAGAGTTGGAGGGTATACAGAGGTGCCTGCTAATACCTTGTTAGGGCTGTTTCAGTTGCTGGGTCTCCGTGAGGTCAGTGTCAGTACTGCTTTAGTTCGAGGCCCTTGATCTGCTGGATGTTGGATGAAGCCAAGGACTCGTGCTGGCCGTTTGTGACCTACCCTAATTTTCTACAGGAAGCTTTGCTCTTGTGAGTCCCATGTACTATGTTAGAAGTCAGATGTCTTTGGTCAGAAATGGTTATTTTCAATTAAATCTTAAAAATCTGGTAAGCAAAGAAATTATTTTTTATTTATAATGATTTCTTTAAAGCTTTTATTTCCTAGATTGTTGTGACAGGAGATGTTGGCAGGCAAGACATAATGCTGTCTCAGAAATGGACTGAGCTGGGGAGTTGGGGTCTCTTTTTTTACTTTCTGGTTTTTTGAGTTATGAACCTTGGTTAGGCCTTGGTGTTAGGTGTTAAACAGCATATGAGGGCTGTGACCCAGCTTCCTTACCCTCTCTTCCTTTCTGACATCTATCTTAACATAAAACAGACTCACTCTCAACTGTAATTGTAACCATCATGTAACTTAGGCACTATTTTCCAGTGTTTCCTTCTGCACGCTGTTGGTAAGCATTGTACCATTTATGAGTTGAGCATTCCTCAGATGCTCGCCTCATTCCTCAGCTGTGAACGCACAGTTCCTTTCTCAACCTCAACCTAAAACAACGAAAAAATAAAGTGCAGGACTGTAATGACATCATGCACCTGTTAGCAATAAAGAACACAGTCTGGAATGTTTAAAGTGCATAATATTATAGCACTCGTCAGTAAAAGCAAGTATTGATACATCCTCTGTTCTTCGACTCATCATAAAAATCCTTCTGCAAACATTGAGAGACACATAGCTCTGTCTATTCAGTTTAATGATGTCCATTAAAATAGATTACAGCAGACATGGTTTGCTCTGAATTACTTGGTCCTGAAATCCAATACCTTTTTAGAAAAAAATAAAATCCTTTAAAGTAACAGGAATGGACAATTGACCTGCCATATACCCAGTCCTTATTGGCATTCAGGGCACAGTTACATCTCTCTAGAATCAAAGGGATAGAAAAAGATGCGAGACAGACAGACAGACAGACAGACAGACAGACAGAAAAAAAAAATCCTCAAGGTACACACATGACTCTCCCTTTCAAATAACTAGTCTTGGCCAGGTTCTGCCTTGAGGATAGGGTTCACGTAGACTCGAGTGGTTACTTCTGTAAATGTATGATTCGTTTGGACTGTCAGGAAACTGTTGTTAATATGGAAACCCATTTTCTCATTTTCTCTTTCTTCCTGTCTTTCTTTCAAGCCATCTATGCCTGTAGGCAAATACACCTTTACCTATGTATTTTATTGTCTTGTTTAATGTTTGTCAAAGTGTGCAATACTCAGAATAATTCTAGGAAAGTATTGGCCATCCCCCTGCATGACAACTCCAATATGTCTCCTTTGGACCCGGCACTGGGGGGAGCTTTGGTAATAATTTGCCGTTTAGGTGTGTTGATGTTTTTCTACGATCTCCCAGTTGAGATAGGTGAATGAGTGGAAAAAGGGGGAAAGGGGGGGAAAAAGTAACCCCTGTCCTTGCTTCTTGCCCTCTCTCTCACTCACTGTTCTTTTTCCTCTTTCCCTTCTATCCCGCTCTCCCCCTTGATCTCTGTGCCTAA